TCACATAGATCTAATTTTTTATCATTTTAAGCAAACTTATTTTTCACTATTATTCTTGACCATAGATGGCGCCACTGGAAAACAAGCACAATCGCACCCATTCTGCCTAAACAGGCTTACGTCAACAACAACACTATTTATTGATTTAATTATCTTAAATTTTCAAAATTCTATAATTCTGTTAGCTAATAGTTACCCCAAGAAATAAATCTTGTTTCGTAATCATAACTATAATATTAATTTAAATTTTTGAATTTAAGAATTGAAAAGAAGAAAATATCTACATTGTTGACCAAAACGATAAAATAAACGATTTTAAATTTAATATAAATAAACTAATTACGGGGAATTCTAAGTTTTCCAAAAAGATTTATTTAAATACTATTTTTAATGAAATGAATAGACCCCCCCCCCCAAAAAAAAAAGACAAACTTTACCAAGTTTTCATAAAAAAAATAATAGAAACTTAAACAATGCAATTGAATTCTATATAAAAATCATTGAGTAAATTTTAATTATTGATAAATTTATTAAAAATTTCTTAGTTACCAAATTTATATTTTTACAATGTGCAAATCCAATTCCGTCAAATCCGTGGCTAAAAAATCTTCTAATATTTAATAAAGAATATTTTTCAATAAATGTTAATAATTTCTATAAAAATCATCAAAATTGAAATTTTATGATTAAAATTCAACCCTATTAATAATAAACTTTGAATTATTCAGTGTAATATTGTTGCCTTGCGAAGCATTTACTCTGCGGGCCAATGCTTTGCGGGTAACTAACAAATCAAAGGAGTTTCTGTAATTCAGTGAGAGGGCCACGTCAAATGCATCCCCGCTCTCCTCTATTTACGCTTTTATTTTCATACTTTATAAATCTGGAATACTTATTACGAAAATATTTTAAATCAGGTTAATATTATAGGAAGATACGGGATGTGATGTGTGCGTGCCCCCAAACACGACTTTTGTCCCTTTTTCAGACATTATTTGCTATTTAACTAAGAAAAATAATTCTTTTCATTACAGAACACTTTATTCACTTAAAAATATTGAAAAAAAAGTTAAAAAAAATAAAATAAAATAAAATAAATAAATAAAAATTATCCCATATTTATTCGTTTATTAGCTATCATCCGCTATTTCTCAAAGAAAAAATAGTAATTTTTATATACAGAATACTTGATTCGCTTTATAATATCGAAAATTATATTAGAAAAAATAATATAAAATGAATAAAAAAAATTTAAAATTGAACCTTAAAAGGCTACGAACCTAGGATCTCCGCGACTACACATTAACCTTGCACACAGTGCTACCAACTGAAACACGCCTCACATGTGCTTTNTAAAACAAATAAATAAATAAATATTATCAGAAATTTATCCGTTTATTAGCTATTATTCGCTATTTCCCAAAGGAAAAAATATTATTTCTTTATACAGAACACATGATTCACGTTAAAATGTCGAAAAGTATATTAAAAAATATAATATAAATAAATAAAAAAAAATTTAAATCGACACTTACAGTGTTACGAACCCAGGGCCTCCGGGACTACACATCTCATTTGCCCACAGCGCTACCAACCGCGCCACGCTTCACATGCAAGCCTCGCGAATATTTTGCATAATACACCTACTCCCGGTTAGTCAACAAAACTTATTTTGACTCTTTGTGGGCCCACTATTTAGTCTATAAAAAATTCCTTTATTGAAATTGTTTGTTACATTAAACTCTAATTTCCGACCGAGTTTGAAATTTATAGGTTAATATTATAGGAAGATACGGGATGTGATGTGTGCGTGTCCCCTAAAACGACTTTTGTTCCTTTTTCAGACATTATTCGCTCTTTAACAAAGAAAAATAATTCTTTTCATGTATAGAACACTTTATTCACTTAAAAATATTGAAAAGAAAAGTTACAAAAATAACATAAAATAAAATAAATCGATAAATAAAAATTATCCTATATTTATTTGTTTATTAGTTATTATCCGCTATTTCCCAAAGAAAAAATAGTTATTTTTGTATACAGAACAATTGTTTTGCGTTATAATATCGAAAATTATACTTAAAAAAATAATATAAAATAAATAAATAAAAATTTAAATCGACTCTCACAGGGTTTCGAAACCAGGACCTCCGGTACTACACATCAACGTTGCACGCAGCTCTACTAACTGCACCACGCCTCACATGCCAGCAACCTCGCGAATATTTTGCATAATACACCTACTCCCGGTCAGTCAACAAAATTTATTTTAGCCCTTTGTGGGCCCACTAATTAGTCTATAAAAAATTCCTTTATTACAATTGATTGCTACATTAAACTCTAATTTCAGACCGAGTTTGAAATTTATAATTTAATATTAAAGGGAATTACGGGGTGTGATGTGCCCGTGCCCCCTAATACGACTTTTGTTCCTTTTTCAGCCATTATTCACTTTTTAACAAAGAAAATTAATTCTTTTCATGTACAGAACACTTTATTCACTTAAAAATATTGAAAAAGTAGTTAAAAAAATAACATAAAATAAAACAAATAAATAACTAAAAATTATCCGAAATTTATCCGTTTATTAGCTATTATTCGCTATTTCCCAAAGGAAAAGAAATTATTTCTATATACAGAACACTTGATTCACGTTAAAATGTCGAAAAGTATATTAAAAAAATAATATTAAATAAATTTAAAAAATTTAAAGACGACTATCGCAGGGTTTCGAACCCAGGGCCTCCGTGACTACGTATCTTACTTGCCCACAGGGCTACCAACCGCGCCACGCTTCACACGCGAGCCTCGCGAATATTTTGCATAATACACCTACTCCCGGTTAGTCAACAAAATTTATTTTCGCCCTTTGTGGGCCCACTAACTTGTCTATAAAAAATTCCTTTATTGCAATTGTTTTTTACATTAAACTGTAATTTCCGTCCGAGTTTGAAATTTATAGGTTATCATCATAGGGAGTTACGGGGTGTGATGTGTGCGTGCCCCATGATACGACTTTTGTTTCTTTTTCAGCCATTATTCGCTTTTTAACAAAGAAAAATAATTCTTTTCATATATAGAACACTTTATTCACTTATAAATATTGAAAAAGAAGTTTAAAAAAAATAACATAAAATAAAATAAATCAATATATAAAAATTATCCCATATTTATTCGTTTATAAATTATCCGCTATTTCCCTAAGACAAAATTATTATTTTTATGTACAGAACACTTGATTCGCGTTATAATATCGAAAATTATATTAGAAAAAATAATATAAATTGAATAAAAAAAATTTAAAATTGAACCTCACAAGGCTACGAACCTAGGACCTCCGCGTCTACACATTAACCTTGCACACAGCGCTACCAACTGCACCACGCCTCACATTACAGTCTCGCGAATATTTTGTATAATACACCTACTCCAGTTTAGTCAACAAAATTTATTTTGCCCTTTGTGGGCCCACTAATTAGTCTATAAAAAATTCCTTCATTACAATTGCTTGTTACATTAAACTCTAGTTTCATACCGAATTTGAAATTTATAGGTTAATATTATAGGAAGTTACGGGATGTGATGTGTGCGTGCCCCCTAGCACGACTTTTGTTCCTTTTTCAGACATTATTCGCTATTTAACAAATAAAAATATTTCTTTTCATGTACAGAACACTATATTCACTTAAAAATATTGAAAAAGTAGTTAAAAAAATAACATAAAATAAAACAAATAAATAAATTAAAATTATCCTATATTTATTCGTTTATTAGTTATTATCCGCTATTTTCCAAAGAAAAAATAGTTATTTTTGTATACAGAACAATTGTTTTGCGTTATAATATCGAAAATTATACTTAAAAAAATAATATAAAATAAATAAAAAAAACTCAAAATCGACTCTCTCAGGATTTCGAACCCAGGACCTCCGAGACAACACATCAACCTTGTACACAGCACTACTAACTGCGCCACGCCTCACTTGCCGGCCTCGCGAAAATTTTGCATAATACACCTACTCCCGGTTAGTCAACAAAATTTATTTTGGCCCTTTGTGGGCCCACTAATTAGTCTATAAAAAATTCCTTTATTACAATTGTTTGTTATATTAAACTCTAATTTCCGACCGAGTTTGAAATTTATGGGTTATTTTTATAGGAAGTTACGGGGTGTGATGTGTGCGTACCCCATGATACGACTTTTGTTCCTTTTTCAGCCATTATTCGCTCTTTAACAAAGAAAAATAATTCTTTTCATATATAGAACACTTTATTCACTTAAAAATATTGAAAAAGAAGTTTAAAAAATAACATAAATTAAAATAAATAAAAATTATCCTATATTTATTCGTTTATTAGCTATTTTCCGCTATTTCCCAATGTAAAAACAGTTATTTTTATATACAGAACACTTGTAACGCGTTATAATATCGAAAAGTATTTTTAAAAAAATGATATAAAATAAATAAAAAAAATTTAATAACGACCCTCACAGGGTTTCGAACCCAGGACCTCCGGGACTACACATCAACCATGCACACAGCGCTACCAACTGCGCCACGTTTCTCATTCCGCCTCGCGAATACTTAGCTTAAGTCTTTAAGGACTAAAGCAGAGGAAAATTTTCCACCTAAACATCCTTAGTTTTTTCATTCGCAAATGAACTCTCCCATTTTGTTGGGGGCTATCTTTGGTCATTTGATGTCCGGGGTAAAAGCGGGATTCAAACACGCTAACTCTACTCTTAGAATTATGTTATTTATTCCAATTTCTGCTCCTCTAATTCGTGCTTTATTCTAATTCGTACTAACTCTACTCTTAGAATTATATTTTTTATTTTAATTTCTGCTCTTTTTTTTAAAGATTTTTAACAAATTGTCTGCCGCGCACTGCTATCTTACCTTTATATAAAAAAAAAAAAAAAAAAAAAAAAAAAAAAAAAANAAAAAAAAAAACGGAAAGAAGAGTAGTAAGCTATAAGCGTAAAAATATTTTCCCACTATTCTTCGAAACTGATTTACTGTCAACAATTTTTTCTATTAGCATTTGAATTGTTGATATACTTACGAAAAGAGAATTTTTAAATTAAAAAAATTCGACTAAAATAAAAAAAGTTCTTTGAAACTACAAATTTCGGGGTGCACAACCTTTTTTAATACTTGCTCTGCATGTTGACTAGTGATAGGTTGCATGTTATCGTATTTTGTTATAGTAATTTTTATATAAATATTACGTCCAGAAACGAAATTATCGGCAGAAAGTAGTATTTCAACTTTATTTAGGTCAATAGTTCGCTTGTTATTATTGAAGCTAGATTTAGTTTAAAATTTACTATAAAAGCTCTCTTTTATGTTGAAGTTTTATTTGGAGAAAAATTATTGAATTGTGTAGGATATTGTAAGTAAACCTATTTGGTGTAGTAAATATATTATATTTCATATGGTTCTGTAACGAAGTAAACAAGAAATTTACTCATTAGTGAGAGTTAATAAAACTGAAGTAATTCATTTGCTAGTTTAAAACAGTGCTTAACATTCAAGAAACCAGTTTATTTGTTTATTTATTTTCTTGATAAATTTGTGTGTATTGTGTAATACTTAGCTTTGTTGATCGGAAATGTTCTAATGTTTTTAAACATTACTTCTCAGAATTCCAATTGCTATTTTTAATTGGAATAATATCTTTATTTCATTGTTTTGTAACTTTTATATTAAGATACAAAGTCTGTGGTGCTCATTCTAGACCTTAAAAAGGGCAGGGCGTTAGAAACTGGAAAGAGCCCCTAAAAAAGGGCACTCATCATGAAAAAGAGCGTTATTTACAAATATTTGCTTGACTTTTAAGACACCCAAATTTTACAAAGTTTTTAATTTTGTCACTAAAATTTTTTTCTCTCGATATAATTAGTTTAAATTTTTAAAAAAATTTTTCTCAGTTAAATTGGTACTTTCTATAAATTGGTTTTAAAGTGAACTTAATTATCAAAGTTTGAAGCTCATGAAAAAATATCTATTTGGTTCGAGAGTTGGTGTAAAATTTACATTTTTGTAAAATCCTCAGACTGTTTTTCTTTTCATGTTGATAACTATGCTTATTCGTGCACTTAATTTAAAATATTTTTTCTTTCTTATCTAGAAGATGAAAATGTTAGACATCCTTGAAATTATTTTAGAAGCTGAAGATTGCAAACATGAAAGAATTGATGGTGGTAGCATTTGTAGTTAAAAACAAGAAGCTATCAGCTGATCTAAGGGTTAGTTAGTAATTAACAATAAACTTAATTTTTACATTCAATTTCTGTACTTTGATTATATTACAGAGATGATTGTGCTCTGGAAAAAGTACAGATTTTTCCCTTGTATTGACAAATAACTCTGTAATATATTAAAGTTATATTGCATAGTTCATTATTTCTTTTGACTAAAATGAAATTTGGAATTTCACAAATATTGCTGATTTTTGCTAATAGAATTATTCCTATTATTTTAATAAACACAAAATCAATACAGATGAAAGCTAAGAAATATAATTTTGAATTTTTTTTCTTTAAAGAAACGAAAAAAAAGGCAACTTTGTTTCAAATGAAATAATTTTATAAATAAATTTAAAAGGAAATTTTATAGCTTTAATTATATCACTTATATAAACAATAAATTTACAAAATCACTATAAATGAAAAAAACCTGTTTAAAAACTTAATTTCAACAAATTTCATAAATTTTAGTTTTATTCTCTGTGATAATTGAGGATCTTTTCCATTTAATACAGTTTATTCTATTGCCTTGGGAAAAAAAATTTTTTTCTTCAAAATGCACCAATTTTAATTTAAATGATTTGCTTTACAACATTACACTCCTTTTTACACTACTTTTTTAAAGTAACATTGATTTTATGCTTTATTTATCATTTTAATGCAACACTCAGGGTGCATAGCATTTGTAAAAAGTACTTAAAGGTGCTTTTTTGGGGATTTCGTTTTTAAAAGCTTTTNTGTTTTTGCCAGGACGGTTTTTACCGGTTTTAACCATGGTTTTTTCCACCTGCGGCAAAATCTTGCCAACCCTGTACTAAAGTATTTATGAAGTATTTTTTCTGAAATTGATTTATAAGCTTCAAGTTGAATTGTAAAAATTATATTATTCCCAGAACTATAATCATGTCAAATCTTGTTTTCATGCCTTAAAAAGAACAAAAAGTTCTAACTGCCCTGATTTTGGTGTATTTACCCTATGCAAGAGTAAATACCTGGGTAAATACTCTACCCTCTGGGTATTTAACTGGTCCACATTTATAGTTGCAATCTCAATAAATCGAACCTCATCTCAACTATAAAAATTTTTGTTCAAGATTTTTCTTTCAAATTTTTTACTTCAAAATGAAAAGATTTACCCCTTGTTATAAATGTAAGAAAAAAATCATTCGTTACCAGTTTTTATGAATAAAGCACTATAAACGAGTTAATTTGAGAGAAATAACGTAATTTTTTTTTAATGAAACAAGACTAAAAATATTTAGTTTTCATTATTGAATTTATTTGATGAATTTTTTGATTTCGTATAAAAAATTTTAAGCCCTAGTTTTTAAACACTAGCTCCCTAAACACCTATTATTTTAGTTCAAATTTACTTACAGCCCTATCATTAAGGTTGGTAAATTTAGACTAGAAAAAATTAAAAACATTAGAATCAAAAGAATCACTATAGAGGAAACTTGGACTGAAAACAGTGAAACACATTCGTTTGCTGGAGCTAGAGAAAAAAAGATTTTACATTATGAAGAAAACGATTTGATTATTATTTTTACAAGCAATCAAACAGATATTTTTATACATCTTAAGCACATTTTAAGAGTGTTTTTTGTTTCCTTTTTCCTTAAATATTAATTTGAAATTCCTAATGTGTACTTTTTTACATTATGCTTAAGAAGTCTTATAGAATGTCTAATTAAGAAAAAATGAATGGTTAATCTTGCTAAATTTTTGTAATACTACTTTTAATTGTGCAACAATACTTTTTTTAAATCCTTAATTTCACGTAAAAAAAAATTTTGTTTTAGAAAATTTCTTCATAAGAAACATTATTTTTATCGGAGTGAAGATGTTGAAAAATACATAAAGGTATACAAACTAGAGTACATTGTGAATGTAGGAAAATAGTGTCTTATTACTGTTAGGATGCAAGGTATGATGTTATTTCTAAAAGGTGAACCCTATTATAAATTTCAGAAATGTTTCAACCAAATTTCAATAGAAAACATCAGGCAAGAGTTTTAGCTAGCTTACATTGTAGCATTTATGATCAGTATGAGAAAAAATGTACCCTAAGCATTAACATTTTATTTTTTATTCATTCAGTTTTTGAAATAACTAATAATTACTTTTTATATTATGAGACAACATTGATAGTAACTGGAGGCAACGATACAGACATTATTTGAAATTTTGTGCAATTTTTTTATTATAATAGAAAGAAATACATAAGATGACTATACTGTTATGTATTATTTGGCATAAAATATTGTAATTTTTAGGTATTTCTCGGTGAAGTTATTATTTTTTTTGTTTTAAAAAAAGTGAAATATTTGTGCAAGATTCTTGCTCATTTTCTGAACTCATTTTTCAAATTTTACTAAATTTTCTTCCTTCTTCTTGCTCCTAAATTTTCTTCCGAATGCTTAGAAAAAACCACTCACAAGTTAAAGGCACATAAAGGTAGGTAGTAGTTAGTTAACATTGTAAAATATTTACATAATTAAAAAATTACTTAAGCCAATAATTCTCTTTCTCGTGTGTTGCAAAATTTATAATAACTACTGAAACCAAACTTTAAATTTATCAATTGATAAAGAATGAGTTTATGTGCCTACAATATGAATTTTTAGCATGTGGTGTCAGCACTGTAAAATGCATATTTATCAACTAGCTTAATTTAATAGTATATTAAGTCATATCTGTAAAATACACTACAGCAGATAAGATGCTGTAAAATTTGTATTTCACCATTTGTATTGTAGCATAATGTTATCAAATTTGTATAGTAACATAAATATAATATGCATAAAATGAATATTTATCAACTAGCTTAAATAATTAAGTAATTTCAGGCCAGATCTGTGTACTGTAAAACTTCTATTCAAAATTAGTTGCTCGTATTTTCCTACATCAGTAGATAGTTGTATTTTCCTACATCATTTAGATATTATATAATACCCTGGATATTTACAACGGGTAAATACTTAAAATTCATAAATACCTGGGTATTTATGAATTTTATTGAAAATTCTATGATCATGTTCTTTTGGGTGTTAATAAATTATTTATATTTAAGGTACATTTAAGTTTCACTTACATGATCAGAAGTTAATTAGTTCTTAACTAAGAAGAAAAATTCCTTCATAAATTATTGAAATCATTGTATTTTTGTTTTTATTTGACAGTGGCTATGGTTTAATCATCCTGAAGCTCACAGTTTGATTCATAATTCCCAATATTTTTGGTTTCACATCTTAGAAATATATTTTTAAAATGTAAAATATTTTTCAGATTTTAAGTAATTTATTTTGGAAAATTTATCATACAAAAATTTCTCTGCATATGAATACTATGGAATCTAACTCCGATCTATATTTAGTTGTAAAAAAATGTAAAACGAAAAAAAGCTTTCTTAATAAACAGCTTGAAGGCTTTTTTCTATAACTAGAACAGAAAATTATTAGAAAACTAGCCGCTTAAGGCGACCAGCTGTCCGCCACGCTAAAGGTTTTCACAAATAAAGTTTTTTAAAACATAGCAGGAAATCTGAAGATTAGGTGACATTTAAAGTGTTCCTGTCCTGCAATTTTGTCTTCATATCAAAATGAACAGCGACAAATATATCAAAGCGAAGCGTTCTATTTACGTATCGAATATGTTGCCACATTTTTAATACAAAGTTAAACTTTTCTCCTCTTTGATAAATGTAAACTAATGCGAACCTTACAATTAAATTATTAATTCCTTCGTATATTATTGGTTTAAGTTGTCGAAAATTAATATTTCAATTGTAAGGCTCGCATTAGCATACATTTATAAGAGATATGCATTTTTTAATAGTTTTTTTAATATGGCTCTTATTTGAAGACGAAAAAGCATAGATTTTCTTACAAAATGACTGATAACTAAAAAACTAATCCAAATTTGTAGACTATATTTTAGGGTGTTCTTCA